GAAAAAAAAAAAAAAAAAGATAAAAAAGAAAGTTAGGGAAGATGATCAAGAGCAACGCGGTGAATTTGGTGTAAAATAGAAATGGAATAATGAACTTACCGTGGAAGATGGTTATTGGTCCGACTAGATTGTCCACGATGGGGCTTGTGGTTCTTGAACCGCTTGTTGTTACCCATTTTTTGTTTTTGTTTCTGCAGAAAACCCAATACTGGGAATGGGCTGGTTGTGAAGATCGTGCCGATGTCGTTTTAGCTTTCACAGGAGGGTTTTAGTCGGTATATGCACCAGACGTCTGTGGCGGGTAGGTTTCTTTGTCTTATTTTTAGGGTAATTTTCATTTTATTACGTTGAAGTTTAATCAGTTTTATCGATCCATCAATTTTTTTCGTCTCAGTTGCCATCAAATTGCCATCAAAGTCTAAAATACTTAGGGTTTCAGAAATATGGTCCAAAAACACGGATATATCTATGGAGATATTGAGGAAACATCAATATCGATAAAAATTAAATAAAAATCATGAAAATTATGAGAAAAACTTGGAAATTTTTATTGAAACTTTAGAGAATGTTTACTTGGTCAATTATCTATTATTTTATCACAAAAAATTGAAAGGAAATGCATTGCATCTTTTAAGTAATTTAAGTTGATTATGTAGCGAGCTGATAAACACTGTAATTCCCGAAAATTTGTAGGAATTAGTGAAAGAAAATTAAACATACCAAAATTCTTTAGTTACAATAAGTTAGTACATTATTTTACACTTTATACATATTGATAAGATATATAAGCCCGATCAAAAAAATAAAGATAAGATATATAAGTAACTTAGTATCACATAAAAAGAATTCCTATAATGTTCAATATTAAAACTCAATAGTGAATAATAATACAACTCCATAATATATGAACCCAAAAAATACAACTCCATAATACAATAATAAATTACATTAAACTGATTAAATTTATCCTATGAAATTTTATTTTAGGGAAATCTATCCTAGAGAATATTAAAATAATAAGTAACATTAAATTTGGCTTGCAGAAACTTTGAAGACATTATAAATGTTACACGTTGTAGCTTATAATCACAAATTAGTCTGCAGTGTGTTGGATAAGGCTTAGCAGGAGGAAAGGGACTATTAAACCTTCTCTCTCTCTCTCTCTCTCTATATATATATATATATATATATATATATATTCAAAATTCATTCAAATATGGATGGGTTAGGTTCAATTGAATTTGTTTCTTGAAATTGATGAAGTTTTCTAGTTGTAGGTTTGATTATTTTATTTTGAGTGTGAGTGATGTGAGCAAGATTGGGGTATGGGTTTGGGATTGCACTAGTTTGGTTGCAAGATTGAGGGGTTGGGAAGGTGGGTTTGGGTGGTGTTGTTGTCGATTCAGCTGAGCCAAAATCGATTAAGCTGCATTTTCAACTTGTGATACTCTGCATCTTTCCCTTGATAAAAGAAAACAAATTAGAACACAAACTCAAGAATGTGGAGGAGAAAATAATGAAGAAAGGTGCCAATCTATTTTCCCTCTCTTAAATATATAGCTTGAATGGTTTATATATATAAGCTTTCCAAGTGGAGGTTTGGTTATTAAACAAGCAATTAAGCTGCATAAAATGCTCCCACAGTTAAAAGCAATAAGTTGCCAACGTTAACATGGTTTAAAACCAAATATAGATATATCAAATTAATACACAATCAAATCATAGCCAATTACATTTGGCCTACATGTTTTCTCCAAATTCAAGACATTAAAATCCAAAACAAAACTGCCAAAAAAAGTTTAATATTCATACCAATAGAACAAGTCCAGCTATACCAAAATGAAAAGGTTTGGAAATCTCAACTTTAAAAGAATTAAAACCACCATTTAACACATTTTTAAAATTTCAATTCAACAAATATAGTAATAATAACAAATATAAATTTAATAATAAATATAGGAAGGTAATATATTACACACCCTCTTCATCACAGCATGGTTGACAACAAATTGAATTGGTGTGTGACAAAAAAAATAAATTCAACCAACCACCCGCTTCATCACTTGGTCAATTGTTTCAACCACCCTCACTCATGTCCACAACATGTTGGTAAATCACCCTAGAAAAATTTAATTGGAATTGTACAACATTAGATATTTGGTTTTGTTGATGAGAAATGAAATTAATTCAACCAACCACCACATATAACTTGTCCAATTGCATCAACCAACATGGTGCTATTAAATTACCCCCTCACATGCACAAATGATGCATGCAATTCCATCACACTTCCATCCTTACTTCAATTCTCTATCCACAAATCCATGGTAAAAAAGAATAAGATTATTGTGAAGAAAATGTTTGGGGGCAAGGTACCTCGTGGTGTCGCACCCCTTATAATCAGTGAATCAAGTGGTAATGCTAAAACTATTACACGTGGTTCCTCAAGTGATAAGATGAAAGCCATTAGACATGGGTCATCAAGTGAAAATTGCCTAAAATCGGTTCTCATGGTGCATTCTATGTTGATATTCATGTGATCCAGTTGAATTGCCTCTACCAATGTTTGAACTGTACTTGTACTAGTTCCATAAGCCGATAACACCGAACAACTATGAGGATCGAAATTCATTACATTGAATTTAAAGTGTAAGCAACCTACCACCAAATAGGTCATGTACATTAAATTCATTCCACAAATGGAATGTTATGCAACTACAAACAATTCATCTACATTGAATTCATTACCACAAATGGAATGTTATGCAATTACACTTCAATTACTTGCCATAAATAGAATGTCAACTGAAAGTTGATCATGTAATAAATATTTCAACTACCAACTACTCCTACACACACACTACTTCATCGACCAATAAATAGCTACTTCAACACACTAACCGTTCATCTCATCTTATTTGCTTCCCCTTATTTCCAATATAGCAATTGCAACACTTGGAGTTCTAGCAAACTCAACATCCCATCTTTCAACATACATCTTTGAACACTACAACATACATTTCAATGTCAAATTCTTAGGGTTGTAGCACTAGAGGCTCCACAAAAAAGAAGATGGTTGATGATCCAATGACACTACGAATTACATCCTCCGAAAAGTTTGTTGAGTCCATGATGTTACGCCACCCACTAAGGCGAGAAATAACAATAATGTTGATACGATTTCTAACTTTGAATTTGAAACTCTTGAAAGGCACGTCAATCCAGCGGTCATGCGGCACAAAAAATTGAGGGATTATTTTCATGTCACGCATGACATGCACTACGGCTGGATGGAGATTGACTTTGAATTATTTAGGAAATATGTCTAGCATGTTGACATTGGGTTAACTAAATGGGACAAGATCGAGCTTAATGAATCAGTTAATCTCTACTATTATAAAGGGAGGCTGAAAATAGTTGGGGTTAGAGGCTTCACAAAAAAAAAGGACATAAACACCCCTGAAACAAATTAAAACCAACAACTTCGCGAAATTCTATATTCAAACTTTGGATGGAAATTTTAGTTAATATGCAATAAAATAAAAAATAACCAGCAAAAAATGTCTACCGTGTGAAAAGAGAAATTAAAAATAACAAAATTAAAAAATAACCCAGAACCTTCGGCCTCATCGTATTCTAATAGCAGCTTCTTCAGCTTGCACCGGGTGAAATATTATTCGCTTTTAATTGCTTCCACTCTTTCGGTGCTCTTCTGTTTCTTCCAGTTTTCAGCTTTTTTGATGTGGTATGTGTTGGAAAATTGGCTCGCATAAGGTATACGTGACTCAGAGAAAGCGACCGGTCGCTGGACATTGGCGACCGGTCGTTTTGAAGCAGATTGGAGGTCTGGAGCGAAACCAGCGGGCGACCGGTCGCCAGATTCAAAAGACCGGTCGCCGAAGAATCTGCAAGAATGCGACCGGTCGCAAGCAACCAGCGACCGGTCGCTTGAGACTCTGCCTAAATGTGACCGGTCGCCAGCTATCAGCGACCGGTCGTTTCTGACGTGTTGTTTCTGTTTCAAAAGGTGTTTTTATCTCTTTTGTCATGTGCTATCGTTTTCTACCCACTTGCAAGGTCAGTTTAAGTCATTTCATACTTAAATAAAAGGTGGCAAGTTGCTGGGAAGCTAAGAGAGCAAATTAAGGAAGGATGTTGGCTTGTTTCAAGGAGCACCTACCCTATGGTTCTTGATAGGGTAGCTGAACTTGTAGCTATCATTGTCTAGCCTTTTGTCTGACCAAGGTGTGATCTATTTCAAGAAAACAAGGGCAGAACGTGGGACAAAGAGATGAGACATTTTCTCAAGTCCAATGGATTGTGTATTTGAGGAAAGAGGAAGCAAGACAGCAAAGAGAGAGTTGAAGTAGCTGGAAACTAGTGAGTCAAGGAGAAGAGAGAGTTCTCAAGTGTATCAAGGTGTTGAGCAAAGGGTGTGAGAGAAACAGATTGTGAGGGTAGTGTTCTAAGGGGGTTTCTGTGTAAACCAAAGTTGTAACCTATCTTCATTAGTGAAATTTCTCAAGGGGATCACCAAAGAGGATGTAGGCAAATTTGCTGAACCTCTATAAACACTTGTGTCATTTGTGCTTGGTTAATTTTCTATGTGTGTGTGTAAGACTCATCTATCATTGAGTTTGTCCAAAGTCCATCAACAACAAGGTCTAAAGGGGAGTGAATTGATTCTAATTCACAACAGTATGAACTCAGGCCCAAAAGGGAGGAAGAAAAATAGAGAAAGACGGTTGTGACAACCATGACACTCCTTGCAAGTGAGAAAGACCCACATATTCAAATCCCCATAACCGACAGCTTCACCAATTTCTTGAGTTCTTTTTAATGTAATTTATTTCGGAACAAAAAATATGCTTATGTAATTTATTTCGAAACCCAAACTACACATAATGTACATTATCATTGTAAATTGTCGCAACTTATCAATTGTGACTGAAGAACATCAACAACAAATCATGGATTAAATTGACCAATGACATATGGTATTTGTGCGTATAAAATGCAATTGCTCATATGATTATGAAAACTCTAAGAGACTGTGTAAAATTTTAAACCCAACATGCAATAACAAAAATAATTTACAAAAGATTGACTGACCATAATTTACAAAAGCGCTTGACTGTGAAGTAAGTGTGATGTCATCATTTTCTTTTTATAGATTATCGTGTTTTATGAGACATTGTATTTAGTTTGTGTGAGCTAGGTAGACTAGGGTTTGTGAAACACGATGAAGCAAACATTCTAAATCTTTGTCAATTGCTCGTCGAGCGGACTGCATTACTTTGCGTTTAATCAAAAAAATTATATGCTTTACAAGCGATAGCGCGATACGTACCCGCTCCTATACGGATTGAAACTACTACAAAATCAAATTATGAACTGTCAATCA